TCACGCCCAGTGTAACCGATTGGCGACAAAAACACATGTGAAGGCGGAACCATATCAACACTGACCAGTGAGGTCAGCCGGAACTTGAGTAGACCTAGATCAGTAACGGTTTGCAAGCTTGGTGAAACGTGCTCCGACTTAACATTGCTCATTGAGGTGATCATCTGTTAGACAATTTATCACAAATGTTGTTAACTCGCTTGCCAAGCGGTGTTTATAGGCTGAGGGTGTAGGTCTGATTGGGTTAGCAAGCTAAGCTAAAATTTGCATCCGGAATAATTCTGAAGAGGGCGGTGCGGGTCCGGAATCCAGATCGACCTTCCTCCTGAATTCACCTAACTGACGATGAGTGATGACTAAGTGCGTGTTACTGCGGAAAGGATCCCATGTCAGAATCTATGTGCTTCAAAATAATGTTTAATGGGGAGGGGTTGACACAGATTAACTGTAAGAGAATTTCAACAGTCGTGAATAACTTTGGGACCCTCCATAAAAAACCGGATCCTCCCTTGAAACCTTAATAATAGGCTCAATTTCCACCCCTCACGGCTCGTTTCCGGTCTTGTTCTGATATGAAGAGCGGATTCATATTTTTCTGAGTAGCGGCTGGAAATTTATCGAGCCTAGCCACTCCGTAAATCTCTTGTGCCTGTATTTTAAGTGGGTGTGGTAAGTGACAAACTGTTAGTTGTACTATAACTTTGAATGTTACCTGCTAGCAGAGGTCTCTCACGAAGAGAGACCTCTGCTAGCAGGGAACTTTGAAAGCAGAAAACGACATGACGCAGAACTATTCTCAGCCCCCAAAGGGGAGCTATCACGAGATCCCGGGGGGGCACTCAAGGGAGGTCTGGGTAGAGGTGTGCCGCCGAGGCCTTCTAACCCCGACCCAGTTTAAAACAAACATTGCTCATTTCGCTACCCTGTTTAAGACAGGAGACACTACTTTCTGACCCTGATTTGTTTGCTTTGCATACAGAATTAAATAATTTTTCACACAAAAATCGTGGAAATGGATGTTTAAGAAAAAAATTATTGGTATTGCAATTGTAGACCGCTCATTAGAGGCGTTCAGTCCAAAAAGACACCCTGTTTAAGACTCAAGACCTTGAAAACGATACCCTGTTCAGCGGCACACACCTCTATAGGCCAAATAAGGGAGTACCCTCCCCCACTGGGCACGGTATATGGATCATTTGAATTGACGTATTTGGACCAAACAAAACAGTGCTAAATGTTCCTGTTTTTCAGAAGCTAACTACTTTGCACGTTCATTGAAATATTTACGGTTGCCTTTAACAGCCGTACTCCACTATCTGAACACTTTGAAGAGGTTACAAGAGGATACTAGTTGTACGAGCTTAATTTTTGGCGTGATCAAGATAGAATATTGGCAATAATTATTCTCTCTTGGCGTGATATAACAGACAGTTCTTTTCCCAATTTCCCCTCCTTGATTGCTCAAGAATGTTCTTCCATCGATTATATGGAGCAGCTTCCTGTTCGAAAAAAAAAAGAGAGAACGCCCACATTCTTTAATGAGTATCTTCTCTTCACGGTATTGAAGTACCGGAATTTTTCGGAAAAAGGAAAACACTATTAATAGCCCACCTTCGATATATTAAAATTCTAATATGACTCTGAGGCTTTGTGGTAATTTTGCTATTGTTAGATTGGTTTTTTTTTGTGCTCAAGTCTCTTCTGCGAATAGCAAGATAATGGAGTTGTGAAAAATTTGCCATTTTGGCCCTTAAGTCTCGGAGTCATGTTAGAAATATTGGGCAAGTCGCCAGAAAATCAGGGGGCTGGGGTCGAGGTTGATGGGCGATGAGCTTCGTATATGTTGTATATACTTCATGGCTGAATACCATATACTTGTCTACCCCATATATCCACGATTCATGAAACTTGTTCGGCTCGCCCTTGATAGTTATGACAGTGAAAGGCAAAGAAAATCTCCGACTCTAGTCGTCGAAAGAAGGTAATTACTGCAAGGTTTTCTTACGTGTTAACGCTCTTCATATCTGGAAATCCTTCTTCGATCCTACGCTTTTAGTGTACTCCCACTTGACTCCCCTGACCCGCTGCCGTATAAATAAGGTTTAATTGTTCACTTCTCTTCTGTTTTTACCTGATCGCTGTCTCTTGTAATTCTTTAAGCTGTGGTTCGATAGTGAATTCCAAGACTACGTGATACTCGCGTCTCGATATCGTGAAGTTTTCGGTGCAATAAACAATTAACAATTATTCCTCGAGTCCGAATGGGCTCTGAGTCAATAGCCCATGAGACCGAAGGCCGAATGGGCTATCAACTCAGAGGCCATGGCGCTTTTCGCTATTAGTGGGCTATAACATGTAGCCCCGGGGGGGGGCACTTTAGGAATTTCTGGGTGGGGATGTGCCGCTGGGACCCTGGAACCCTTGACCTATACCAGAGCTAGTTCAGCTGAATTTTGCCACCCTATACTAGAGTAAACTCCCAAAATCCCCCTATCCTAGAGTAGCTGTTTCCTCAGTCTAGATCAGATGGGCTCCTTTCTAGATAAAATATTCAACCAACTGATCAGTTTCCTGAAAAATGATACCCTATTCTAGACCCAAACGCTCTGATTTATATACCCTATCCTAGAGTAAACTACTTGAAAACCATACCCTTCACAGCAGCACATACCCATATAGCCCATATATGGCAGTACCCCCCGCGGGCATGTAGCCTAGTAGTAGCTCAGCCAATCAGAACACAGCATTGATAATAGACCACTAGTTGCATTTTACTAATATATGATACCCCAGTCAACATAGCACAAACAAAGTTCTGCAGTATTTAATTTTATCCTAACATCACATCACTTAAGCTTACAATAACATTCCCTTCTATGCAAAAACGAAATCCCACTTTGCCACAACTGTATTGTCATGTAAGTTCATTGTTCTTTTTCTACTTCCCTATTTCAATATTTAATAATTATTCAGCAAAAGAAGGGCACACCGCTTAATCAGTCTACATCAATAACATTCAGGGGTACCGAATGAGAATATAGTTCAAAACCACTTAAACATAGCATTGTTGAATGTACTTTAGTATTTAAACGGTAGATATAGTCAAATTTTTATCCCTTAAAAATTTTTCATCTGTTTGGATTTCCTAGCTGAAAGTCTAGTGATCCAAAAATTATATGGTCGGGATCAAAACTTACCTTTTCGAAAATTTCAGCCAGAAAAAAGGCTCCCGAAAATTCTAGGTGACCTTTTTAGGGAAAAATCCATTAAAAATGGACAATTATACCATTATTTAGATGTTCAAAAACTCTAGGAGGAGCACAAGCAAGCAAGAAATTTTATAACAAATGTTCCGAAAATTCTAGATCTCAAATCATCTTCCGAACAGATATTTTCCAAAAATTGACGTTGGGTGCCCCTGAACATTGAATACAGTAGTCAAAGAGTATAACATGATACGTTAAAGGGAGGAATGACATTCATAACTCTACATCAAATTTCAGTATTGATTTCTACAAATTTAGCTTTCTATTTATTTACGTTTTACTCTTTTGAACCCAATTCAGGAGTACCCAACTAAGGTTTCCTCCTAAATACATTGGAAACACTTTTTAGGCTATCCAAAGTACTTTTTGATCTCTAGAAATGCATTCTAAAGCTCTGTTTGGGTGTTTATAAAAAAGATGCTTGCTTTGTCTTTGTCTTTGGAAATTATGCAAATTCTGTTTAATTTTTAGAGAAAGTCAAATTTAAATACTGTACAACTGCTCCAAAGGTACTTTGCCCCTTTCATGATTGGTGTTTTGGTAATAATGTTATGTAATTCAAAAGACTAAATTTGACACTTTAATACATCTTACCTATACAGTAGCCAATGAAAGAGCGTTTATTCTTATAGCTTGCAATTATTTAAAAGGCAAACGAATTTTAACAATCTAACATTTGATGTTTTACATCAATATTAAATACGAGTACAACAGCAGCAGTACAATGGTATACTCCTTTTTCAGCACGTTGAAGGCAGTGGAACCCTGGTAAATAAAAAGTGCCAAGGAGCTAAAGAAATGCCTTTTTTACGACAAGGGCACATTATGGTTGTGTTGCTTCCTATAAATTTTACTTTATGAGGGAAAAAATAACACTGTTCATTTTACCAGCTGTTCATTGCCTCTTTAAGTCCCAATATCCACACAAAAACATATCTAATTCATAAATTATTGTACATCTGCTTTAACAGCATAAATCTTCAGATCCACTCTGAACTTAACTTTTGCCAACAGAAATTTGAGCAGCAATTGAAAAATATCCACCTAACCAGTACAATATCAGGCCGTAGTCAGTCAAAAGTGGATAGCACTATCCAGCAGATTAATCTCTATCCAGTAGATAGCGCAATAATTATTATTGGTTTTCCTAATACTTATCTACTGGATATAAATTTATCCAGCAGATAGTGCTATCCACCTTTTTAACCCTTTAAGTCCCAATAGTGACCAACAGCAATTTTCTCCTAATGATATCCATACATTATCATGAGATGAGGTTCTGAGAATTAATTAAATGATCACCTAAGACAAAATACTTTGATCTTTTATCAAATTCTCTTAACTAATTCTTAAAGGAAATGTATAGAGATCAGTTTGGAGAATTTGTATGTGGATATTGGGGCTTAAAGGGTTAACTACTGTGGCCAGGTGTTGTTTGAACCATTATTTTAAGGCTACTTACTCATCCCTGAGCTGATGGGTAGGTTTTGTTCATTAGCAAATTAGGGGAACTGTCCATTTAACATGTTCGTAAGTTAGAAATGTAATTTCTTGATGATGATATCCACACTGCTAACACTTTTTTGTACGTGCCTGTTAATTATGGCAACTTAAACATTGATCACTCCATCTTTAACAAGACGCTGCATAACAAGTCACTGTTTCTAAAAGCATCCCCTGGTCAGCAGGTAACTTTTGCACTTCCGCCTCTACAAACAAGCATCAGATTTTTCTTTAAGGTGGGACATAGGCTGGTGGTAGACGGTAACCTGAATAAGCTATCTTGCGACTTGTACTTGAAGCACCACTACTGCTGTAACTGTAACTGTAGGAGGATTGTTTGAAGCTGCCACCACCTGGTGCCATACTGTAACTAATAGCACCACCACCAGCAAAAGCTCTACCAGCACCACCTCCACCTGCTCCACCTCCACCAGCTCCAGTTCCCCCTGCTGCTCCTCTGGCAAAACCACTGCTCCCACCACCCACAGCTAGCCCACTGCCAGCTCCCATACCACCACCTGCAGCAGCTCCACCTCCAGCACCACCACCTGCAGCAGCTCCACCTCCAGCACCACCAGCTCCTGCACCTCCAACAAACCCACTGCTCCCTCCACCACTGCCACCTCCACTAGCACCACTGCTGAAAACAAAAGTACCACCACCTCCACCTCCAGCTGCAGTCAAACCAGCACCTGCGCTACCCCCACCACCAGCACCAGCACCACCAACACCTCCACCACCACCACCACCACCACCACCATTGGCCACAAAACCTGCATTTCCACCACCACCGCCGCTACCCCCATTGGCCACAAAACCTGCATTTCCACCACCACTGCCACCACCACCACCGCCGCCACCACCGCCGCCAGCGCCGCCACCACCACCGCCACCAAAACCATTTGACATTTGTCTACTTGACACAAAAGTTGGTGCTTGATAAGGCACCGATTTTGTTTCCTCAATCAATAATGGTGTTTTGTCACCTCCGGGGACAGCACTTCGTGAATACATTGGTGGTACGGGTGGTTTTTCATTTGGCAGCACAATCGGTTGCTTCAATAGTTGTTCTTTGATCTCATATTCTTCCTGGAGAACAATGGGTTTCTTCTTGTAAATGAAGGTTGTCTTCTGTGCTCCTGACAATTTCTGCTTTCGACGACATCCCATCATAATCAACAAACAACAGCCAATGATGAGGAGGATAATAGCAAGCACAATAGCAGGTATAATTGCGTACGTCCACCATATTCCTCCAGGGCGGTCTCCAATTAAGGCACCGGGATCATCAACAAGAACTGCCGCACATGGTCCAAGCTTTTCATAAGATCCTGAAAGGACTCTAAACTGTGGCAGAAGTGCAGCCATGAAAGCTTTATTCAATGCCTTATCGAGCCAAAACTTTGCGAGGAGGTTCTTTAGGGAAGGATGAAGGCAGTCATCATATGGAATGAAATCAAAATAGAATGAAAATAAAACACCTGGGGCATAACTGACAACACGCACGCTGGTGAAGTTCACGCCAAAGAAATTGGCAATCTTGTCCAACAGCATGACTCTGATTCCCACATTATCTATGAAGGTGGCATTATCATAGTCCAGGACAATATTAAATTTATGGTTAAATGGCTTGGTGTCTTCTGAAACGCTTACTTCAAAGCCGTCAAAAGCCCTTAATCCTTGCTTATCTGAAGCGATCAAGAAAAACTCATACAGTCCAACTCTGTTGATGTCAGTGGGGAGGCCATAAATCTCTTGGCGTGATGAATTCAGAAGGATCCAGGATGTGTTTAGAAGTTCTTTATCATCAGTCGTCCTCAAGTCCAGTGAAAGATTTGGAGTGTCAAGGTCTTCTTTGTCATAAAATGAATCACTTGGAATGATAAATCGTAATCCTTGTCCCTGGAAAACGTTTAACCGGTCTACATGGTTGTACACTTTAGGTGGAGTGTTTCCTGCTGGGGTTGGTACCCCACAGACTCCTTGACCTTCGTACTTGCCAGATGTCACGTCAAATTCTGGTTTAAGTGCGGTAATGAAATTTTCATTCAACTTTTTGTTGACTTCAAAACTGCTGATGATCTTCTTGCGCTTGGGATCGTCACATTTAAGGTCTTGGAGTGAGACCAACCGAAAAGTACAAACTGGACCATAGCTGCCAATGTGGATGTCCTTGACACTCACAACAAAATATGCTGCAAGCTTGTTAACCAAAGCTACTTTTCCTTTCACATTGTCACCAGCTGTTCCATCAATAACATCAATTGAAAACTTGTGGTTGTATTTCACAGTGTGTTCTGTCACCTGTATGTCAATTTTATCTTTTGCTTTTAACCCATCTTTATCTATGGCAACGAGGTAAAAGGAGTGGAGGCCAACCACATTGCTGTCAGTTACCAAACAAATTATGTTTTGTTTTACAGAGTCAAGGAAAATCCAAGATGGCAGATTCTTTCGGTGATCCATTGTTGTCATTTCAAGTTTAAGGTTAGGAGTATAGCCATCTTCCTTGTCATAAAATGTGTTGACAGGAATTTGATACTTGAATATAATTCCCTGTTCTACAGTAAGGGTAGGAACATCTGTACGCAACTGTGGCCGATTGGTTCCACTGCATGGTTTAAGAAGATTGTAATAGCTATCCACGTTAGTAACTTGGAAATCTGGTGAAAGTGCTGCCACAAATGCTTGATTCAGCTGTTGTTGTGTGTCATTCCAGAATCCATTAATCAGTTTAATAAGGTTTGAATCATTACATGACCTTATGTGATCAAATTGAAACCTAAACATGTCTTGATCCTGACTGAGTACTCTCACATTTGTGTAATCCAGGTCATAATATGCAGCAATCTTTACTACCAATTTCACCATCATGTCAACATTATTTTTCAGCAAAGCATAGTTGTCGAGGTGAATGCCAAACTCGTGATTATAAGAGTTTCCATCACTCTTAACGTTTACTCTCAAGGTGCTTTCTCCTGTTTGTTCCAACCTGTCTCTTGCAATCAATTTAAATCTGTGATTTCCAGCAAAGTTCACACGTAGTGGCAAAGCATAAATGTACTGCTGTGAGTCCAAAGTGATCCAGTATATACCTGGCAGTTCACTTCCATCTTGTGTTCTCAAACTTAGCCTCAAGTTAGGTGTGTAAAATTCCTGTTCATCATAGAAAGTGTTGAAAGGAATGTGGAGTTTTAGTGCCTGCCCCAGATGCGTTACTTTCCTAGAGATGCGCTCAATTTCATTTGGTGGACTATCTTGATCTTTTGTTAGGGGAGTGAGACTCTGACATGAACCCATACCCCAGTAGTAGCCTGTTGTTACAGTAAAGTTGTCCTCTTTAAGGGCTGCAACAAAGGCTCTATTCATTTCTTTTTCCTTGCTGTCCCAGAAGCCATTTATTAGCTTTGTCAGGTTTGAGTTATCACAGTCCTCATATGGAATGTAGTCAAACATAAATTTTACAGAAGGACCTTGCACATAATTGATAATGCGCACATGACCTAAGTCCAGTCCATAGTAATTAGCAATTGACTTCAGTAGAGATATTTTTATGGCAGCATTGTCTGCCAAGTCTTCATAAGTATAACCATGCACGCCAGGAGCTTGGGACGAACGTCTTCGACCCAGACGTATGGCAAACTCATGATTGTAACGAACTGTACTGCTCCGTACCTCAAATCTAACACTTTCAAAAGCTTCTAGTCCAGCACTGTTAATGGCAACTATGCGATACCCATGGGGTCCAACCAAAGCCATATTGTTTGTTTGGCCATAGATTTGTTGCCGAGTGGAATCAAATAGAATCCAAGAGTTGGCGGGTAGAGCCTCATTATTGTTTGTTCTCATTTCAAGCTTTAGGCCAGGACTATAGTAGTCTTGACTGTCATAGAATGTGTTGTAGGGGATGGTGAAGCGGAATCCTTGTCCCAAATACATGTGAAGGGTGCCTATGGGTCTGTTGAGTTGTGGTGGAGTATTCACATTTGTAGTTGTCATGCAAGGACCAAGTCCTTTGTAGAAGCCGTACATCACATTGAACCCGGCACGACCTAGGGATCCTTTGAATTCTGCATTTAGCTCTTTGTTATTGCCAAAGCCATCTTTAAGATTTCTCAAGAAAGCACTGTTGCAGTCATAATATGAGGCTGAAGATTGAAATTGGAATGTAAAGAAAATATATCCATGGCGGTAGAAGTATGAGGCCACATGCAAGCTTGTCTCAGCCACACCATAATAATTAGAGATAATTTTGGTTAACTTCAGGCGATTTTCAATGTTGTTCATAAACATTTTGTAATCATACTTCAAACAAATCGTAAACTGGTTATTATATGCAATGCCACCTTCTGAAACCTGCACGTTGAATTTGAAATCTATAGTGTCCCCTTGACTGTCAGTAGCAACAAGATAGAAGGTATGCAATCCAATGACATCTTTGCCGTGAGCCATACCATACAACTCTTGTTTTGAAGTACTGAACAATATCCAGGAAGTTGCTGGAAGGTCCTCACCATTATCTGTTTTAACTTCCAGTTTTAAATTTCTGGTAAAACCATCTTCTGGATCATACAGCATGTCTGGTGGTATGCGATATTGGAAGCTTGTCCCCAGAAAAACATTCAGTGGGGGCATTTGACTTAAGATTGTTGGTTTCTTGTTGTCTTTGACAGCCACAGTTGGAGTCACAATGGAAGACAAGGTCACTGTAATGCCACCAGGAATTAAACTTGGAGGTGCTGCTGAGAAGGTTGGAGTAATGGTTGCGTAAATTCTTCTTGTAGCTACAATAGTTCCAAACTGTTGTGTTATGACTGGAGTTGGATTCAGATTGTTTATTTGTCTGCGCACTCTCTGATGATGAGCTTTTGGTTGACCAGTGGTAATGTGCCAGCCAGTGACTTGTGCCTCGAGAGCCTGCTTGAATGTTCCTCTCTCAGAGCTAGACTTCAATACAGACGCCACTTGTAATCCTTCATTAAAAAAGGAGATAAGATTAAAATCTAACAGCCTGGCTTTTTTATTTAAAGAACAGTAGTTGATTCATGGCCACTGCAAGTTTCAAAAAGCAAAAATCTTGTTTTGCCTTTTTTTAAAAGGAAGTGATGATCATTAACTAAATTTTGGCTGGCTCCTCAGTAGGATCTTTTTTCAACTTTTGTGTCACCCTTCACCGATCAAATTCCCCTCACACAAAGGTAAATTTGATTACTGGCAGCACTATACACACCTGTGACATCAGTTCCACAGCCAATCTGCCAGGAAACTGCAACACCAGGGTGCTTGGAATCGGCGACATCTCCAGGACCAGCTGTCACCATTGTCACATCCTTAAGACCAAATGCTGTGTTGTGTCCTTTGCCCACAGACATGTGCAGATCTGCCATGTCAACATCAACAAAGTCTGACAGTTTCCTCATTAGTTTCATTCTCTCATCTCCACAAAGGTTCCCCATATGAAGGTCAAACAGGACTGTCGCCACTGCTACTGGCTTGCCATGGGAACACTGGGGCTTTCTGAATGAGGGTACCTTGGTCTCATTCGAGTACGCTGACTGGTTGTTTAGCACACTGTGTAAATCTTGAACATCAATTGAAAGAACAGACTTTTCATACTTGCTTGTTTGGATTTCAATCTCAACCTTGCCTTTGTCACGCCACAGGGGTACCCCGTTTAGTTGGTTTTTGGAGGAGTCAAAAGACAGCCATTTGGGTAAAGTTGATCTTCCTTTTTCTACAGCCTGAAAGCAAAAAAGGAAAAAAGGTCAAGTCTACCTGCCTTGCATTCAAACAAAGTGACTTTATTTTTTCTATAACTATTCAAGATCCTTGTGTGCATAATTTAGTATGTAGGTCCATCAACAAAAATATGTCCGGTAAATTATGTCCAAAGTCTAGCTTGTTGAGTGGAGGCCTTGAAATAATATCGTTTCTAGCGTATCATGGTTATCTGCTAATGCAAGTACACTTTTACACCCAAAAGAGGACAAAGTCAAAATTCAATGGAAACAATTTAGCACACTATGTGAAGTACCAGCTAAGAGGTTTCATTTGAGTGGTCACAAGGCAGGGTTTTGTCTACAAACTCAAAAGCTAGAAGCATTTACAAGATTCCATCAATCACCCGTTGGGGAAGGGTCAATGCACTCAAACTGACAAAATATGATGTCTAAAGAGACTTAGCTAGCACACGATGTTGTTTTCTACATGTATTTCGTTACTATTTATTCAGGTCTCGAAAAAACTTGAATTCCAGCTTGGCCTTTGTACAAGCAGCTCTCTCATTTTGTTTGCCTGAGACCATGCCTGCTTGCCTGTCTGTCTTAGTTAATGGTTTTGTTATAATTGGTTGTTTTGCCTGGACCCTTCCCCAGTGGGCAGATGAGCTTAAAAAGTTACTGGCTTAGCAAGAAATGCTACTTGTCCTAGACAACTGGACAGAAGTTGTTTTTTTTTAGCCCTGCATATTATTGAATATAATATTTTAGTAAAATCCAACTAGTGGTCTATCATCAATGCTGCATTCTGATTGGTTGAGCTACTACTAGGCTATATGTTATAGCACACTAGTAGCAAAATGCACAGGCTTTGTGGTGGCAAAAAAGGATTAAAGTCTAGCTTTAACTAACTAAAATTTTTGTATTCTCGATATTTTTGACCAACTAGTTGGATTTTACTAAAACAATAATTATTCCTCTCACCCTCATGGGCTATTGACTCAGAGTCCATTGGGGCTCGAGGAATACCGTTAAATATAAATTATTGTATAAACGATGCTTGAACAGTTACCTCATATTCTCCTTGATTTCCATTCTGATGTGGTAAAAGGTATTTAAATGGTCTCCCAATAACTGCTATGGCATTTGGCAGTCTACTGTAATGGTTGTCATGTTCTTTGCCGCATGTTACTGTCAACATGAGCAGGAAAATGTATATCCTGCAGCTCATTTTGTGGCCAAAAATCTTGCAGTTTTCTTTGCCTCCCATAAACAGGAAATTTCACACTAAGTTAACGGATCATTGGCAAACCATTGATGAACCTATTAAACAAAACTTTGATCAATATAATTAAACCCTAAATGGAGTGCTGATTACACTCTTTTATAAACAGTACTGAACTTGCTAAGTACACCATTTTATTACAGTGTATGTCTGCTTTGTTTTGGCCCACCCATTGCTTGAACAATATACATCAGTATTTCCAAATTAATGGAAGCTTCGCTAATTAAAACAAAAGATTCTAAATATAGTTGTAAGTGCTCCCCTGTTGAGCCCTTATCACAATCAACTTGCTTTTCTCCATATATATCTCATTCAATCAATTACTGAGAAAAGTAACAAAAAAAAAATAGTTTGGATGGTTGTTTCCTTTATTCTAATGTTCTATGTGAAATAAATGAGTGCCAATGTATTGAGAATTTAGACGCTGGTCTCCCTGGTTATAGGATAAAGTTTACACCCTCAATAAGCACAGAGTGCACTTAATATCAAGAACAGAGAACATTTACATTTTCAAACAGTAATGTAGAACCTCATTTTTGGTTTAAGGGACCAGAAATGATGAATGATACTTACAGTTAACACAATCCTCCTAATTTTAGTCAGTAGTAGTTGGTTGAAACAGTATGTTGTTTTGTTGACTTTTCATCAAGCATGGGAGTTAAAAAAAAGTTAAAAGTCTACAGTCTTCTTGACCCGTATTAGATGATCAAAATATGAGGTCATAAAAGGAAAGAAAATTCGAAAATAATGAAATTTAAGTCTTGAAAAGTCAAATTGTCCTCATAAACACCACTAAAAATGTGTGAAGAAAAATGTAGAGAATATGTGATTTTATAGTGTGTTGCTCTAGAAAATAACCATACCCCCTCACAACAGTACAACAGCACAACAGTATTTTGTAAGCTCAAGTTTCATGTTCTTGGACTAGAAAACCTTGCTTAAATTTTGGCTTAATTCTGGGTTAAACTTAACCATCTTTTGAGGAACCGGGCCCAGGTTTTGAAGTTCAGACGCGGGCCACATGTAACCCCGCCAAGAGAGCCTCTTTACTAACACACAAAATCCTCCTGTAGGGTTATGAAAAAGATAGCAAGCAAATTTCATCAGCGAGCACTGATCATAGTATTTTTTGGTGATTTTTGCAGGCATGGCATTTTAAAAAAACTTGAAATAGCTGGCCAAACTTTTCAGGCTTCAATCCTTGTCCGTCCTTCTCATCTGTAGGAACAGATGACAGGAAACAGTTTCAGTACCTAACTGTAGTCTTAAAAAAAAACAAAACTGGAACATTATTTTTAGAATTCAATTATTGATGCGAAGACACATTTTAGCTTTTCAAAATGATGGCAAATAGCATGACATAGCTCCTTTAAAAATCCCTGTCTAGCCAGACTTTTTTACAAGTCTTTTAGCCAGCGATGATAAATAGACACAAAGCTTTTTTTTGTTTAAGTAAGTTGTGTTGTGTTCTGGCTGACCATGTTTTCTCCCATAAGAAAAAAATGCAATGCTTTTTCAGAGAATTACCTTAGGGCTTAATGAAACAATGCTAATTATTTTAGAACACAATATTATCCTTGAATCATTTCGTTGGAGGGACTATTATAATGGATTAATTGTTCTTACAGTAATCCCTTGCTTACAATACACGACACTGAACAACTCTTTTAAAATGCTTATGCAGTCTAACTTCATTTTTATACCAATGACCACTGAAATTCATCAGAGTAGAGCAAGAAATTCGTTTTGAAAGTTAGATTTATAAATGGATTTGCGGTGAACTCGATGACAACAGTGCAGTGAAGTCATTCACATTTCTAGCATAGAAATAATGCAACAAATTCTATTTCTAGATTTTCTGGCTGTATAAATGTTTTTAGCAATTTTTATTGAGCGTGTAATTAATAACATTTTAGAGTCAGGTCTTCGGATTTTCTGAAAAACATCCATAGTGCAGCTGAAAGTTCTAGAAGCGTCCTCTCAAACAATCCATGTTAAATAAAAGAGAAAGTGGGTGTTACAGCACTCTGAATGGCTAATCAGCTACGCCACTTATTATTTTTAGAATTCTGTATTCATATCAGTTGGAACACGATAAAATTGACAATATCTTCTCTGACATCGGAAAACGTTTTTATCATTTACATTTTACTTTTAAGGGCACGTCTTCTGACTGAAATTAAATTAGTGTAAACGTTGAGTGAATAGATTAGTTCTCCCATTTACTAATTGGATTGTTTTAAAAAAGTTATTAAGTATTGCAACGTCGGACAGAACTGATCACACCAAACGACCTGGGTGGCAACGCGATGTCGCTGATATATTTTGCCTTAAAAGTCAAACGTCATATTTCCTGGTACAAAAATAGTTTATTTGATAAGGTTCGAAATAAAACACGTCAGTAAATGGTTAGTTTTTGACAAGAGAGAGTGGGGTATCTCATTCTATCTTGGTTTTGATCAAGTTTAGCTTTGAAGGGTATTGCCGCTTTAAAGATTATTTTTAATGCATCGTCAACATAGTTAACGTAAATGTCCATATATTGATCTTTCGAAAGTTTTTTTCTTGTAGAAAATGAAATATTTCAGATGATTTACGTGTGTTGATCTCTTGCCTAAAATCTTGCCCTGTTAAATCAAATTCAAAATCTCTGATCAAAGGAAATGATTGCCGAAGTAAAATAAAGTTGCGACGTTTGCTATCTATCGTAATTTAATCATCTCAAGATAAATCCGTGCTTCAGTTTGGAACGTTTCGGTAATGATGCGATACACAAACGACTTCTTTTCTCTTTTCGACTACCAAATTTGTGACATTTGGTGATCAAACTACTTATTCCGTCTCAAGCATTTGTGCTGAGATCTTTAGAAACCAATTATCGCCATCTTGAATCAACTGTATGCTGTCAACACCGAAGTTACTGCATGTACAGTTTATTGCCCCTGGTCACTTATTAATCATTAAAAGTTCACCTGAAACCGGCATAAGAGTTGGGTGATTCAATTAAGGCAGTGAAGACTTCTGTCGAAACTGTGATTGAAAAACGTTCCTTCGACAGAAGAAGCTCTAGATCGTCCAAAAGATGATAGCGTGACAGGCGCTATCTTGTCAATTTCATGAAAGTGTTCTCAGCATGGAACGTGAGAATTGGGTTTCAAAAATTGAGGGTTGAGCCATCGAACTTGTTTATCCTCTTATCGAATGATAAAAAAAAAAACAAGTGGCACATCAAAATAGTAATAACAATACGAGATTTTGTTGTTTCTCAAGTCAATCATGTCGTGTTTTGCCTCGAAATTTTACCAACCGGATTCAATTGATAAATTTCATAGGTTGATGCGCTGTTTTCAAAATCAGCTGTTCCGTCGCTATGCATCACGCCCATTCTTTAAGGCTGTCATGATCTGTGATGATATGTCAACTAAAACAGAGCGATTTGTAAAAACGCAAGGTTTACCTTTCTTATTAACACATTCGCCAAACGTTGAAGAAGCTTAAGTCTATAATCCTTCGCGCATTTTTTCGTTATCGAGCTCAAAGTGTAAAGGTCCGTGTTGTTCAGTAGCTGTTCTTGATATCTGCGTATCCGACGCAAATCAAATTAAGTAGAATTGTAAACACCAGCAATATACAAGGACAACTTCGAGTAGAGAAAGTTAATTTACATTCTCAAAAGCCATCAGAACCCAACTTCTTGCATTTCAATCACTACCGCAAACAGGGCAACTGGACCAATTTAAAATGTGATGCGGGTAAGAATCTGTAAGTTCGGTAGACAAAACCTAAATCTTAGCCTAATTCAAAAACAAAACAACGAATAATATCGCCGTACCAGAACATAACCGTGGCTTTTTGAGACTAATTTCAATATGTTTAATTTTCCCGTCACGAAAACCTCGCGTCATTGAAATGTAAATCATTAATGTGCTGTTTTCTTTGCAGCATGAACAAGACATGCTTTCATCAGTTCAGTGGGCTTGATGTAAATGACGAAAAGGTTGATATTTTGGCTATTTGCGCGTTGCGCTCAAACACCAAACGTTCAGCTTAACTACTCTGCTGTATTTTAGGTTGAACTTAGAAACGGCAATATGCCGCACGGAGGAAAAATGCCGCGAAAGCTACAACGTGCAGTGTTTATAGTACTTCATGATTTCTTCTTGCTGCGAAAATTGACTTTTGCCGATTCCAGACTTTGAAGTTGTTTTACTTTAACAATTAGTTTTTACCAGCTGAAAGCCTTGTCCTTCTAAAATAACAACTTAACAAATTTAAGCGGGAACTGGCATATTCAAATCAAAGTCACTCACTCTTTGCTTGACTGAGATGACCACACAGCGAAGGTTGACGTTTTGTTCACTTCGCCTCGTCAGTGGCAGCAAGTCCAAGACAGCTTTCTCACTGTCGGGGATAGAAGTGCTTCTCGTTTGTCGCCTTTCCAGGAAAAAATTCTCTGGTGCCTTATTTCATAGGTTTACAGAAATGCAATGTACCTGTAAGAACTTTAAAAGTATATTTGTCAAGAAGCGACGCGTTTCCGTACTTCACTGACTGACTGTGATTGACACATTCTTCAGATCGCGATACAGCGTCAACCAATCATGGCGCACGATTTCGAATAAAAACTTTGCGGTCTTCAGCTCCAATGATCACGCACAATATTGATGAAACAGCTGGGCAACTATTATAAACAAAAGTATTATCAACTACCCTTTTTTAACGTTGGATTGTCTAGAAAATTATTCTAGCCAAAACGTCGTCTTCCTATATGTAAACTTGCCTATAGCCCCAAGGCAAGACAATTGACTGTAGAGTTCTAACGGCAAAATACATTGGGCGGTATAACCCCTTTTACCGCAAAATGACATTAGAAAGATAAAGGTCTGTTTGCAAACCTATCGTAATTCTTTTATTAAAGAAATTTATAATGGTATTCATAGTGAGGGAATAATGAATAAGGCTTGATTGAAATGATGTCAAAATGTGTTTCAAGGTCGTATCCAGAAGAAAATCTTACTTTGAGACAATGAAATTAACCAGGTGAACCCAAGAAAATTTAAAATTTTTACGAAGCTGTGTCCGAGGGCCTGTGCTTTGGCATGGTCCCTTTGTTTAAGAACAGTTTAATCGTGTGTGTATTCAATATTTTTGGCGAATCATCTAATGAGTTAGTTAAGCAAGGGCCATTTCGTTTTATCCCTCCCTTAGTATTCTGTTATATTACAAAGGTCCAATGTCGAGTTTTTATTTAAGGGGGGGATGTCATTTTAGAGATTTACTCAGTTCCACCAAATTTTGGGAAAGTTCAGCTAATATTCATTGTTAGCAAGCTGTCACGTCCATCTCCCTCTTATTGTGGTTAGTGGCTAAATCTATCTAACAAATCGGCGTTTAGAAGCTGACTTCGTTGACCTTCGTGCTATCATGAATTGAAATCCAAAATCCTATTTTATTGTATCTTTTTAAAAGGGTGCTGAATGGCATATCATGAATGAGATTACACATCAAACCTCCAGAAAAAAAAAAAACTGATGATTTGTTCCAAATATAAAATTCCGAGGTTGAACACAAGTACCTACGGGTTAAGATTGGCGTCTCTTCTGCATTCAGTGGTGTTAAATTCGGACAGGATTAGCTGATGTATCAATAAGAATGCTTTTACAGTAGAATTAATCCCTCAATCATTGGCACGCAAACTGAGCACCGTTATAAAGGGGAAGGAAGTTAGGAACAGCGAAAGCACAACATCGCTTCTGAGCCATAACATTAATAACGAAATAATCATGCATAAATTTAAATGTAGCTTCCTAAGTATCGGCTATTTGTTGAGTATAAAAAAGTGTATATTAAAGACATTTTTCTTGAAATTAATCCGCTGAGTTGCTCACCTTAGAGTTTAATAAGGGAAGATGAGAGGTCGTGGAACAATTTATGATTACTTTCTGTAGTGCTCATCGGCATATGAAATGCTTTGTCAGCGTAGATTAAGTTGTTGTTTACGTCTAGTAATGTTTCAGAACTAAAAAAAGCTGATCGTCGTCCCAGAATTCTGTAGCGTGTTTTTCTGTGTCGTAAAGTGAACAATATGATGAGGTCAGGGAGTCAAGGCATGTGGAAACAAACCTCTTGTAAAAACTGAAACGAATATTTTCCTCTTCTGTTTAATTTCAGAAATCGAGTGACTGGTGTGGGTGGAAGAGCTTGAGAAGGTGCAGCTTCAAACGTTGGGCGTGTAAGCCGCTTCAGTGAGCAAGGATAAAGGACTCTTGGTGGTGTAGGTAGAGGCGTTTACGGATGCGTAGCGGTTTTGTGTTCAAACATGAGCTGATTTGATAACTCAATCAATCTCAGTAACAGCTGAAGTCAGCTTAGAAAAAACCTGCAACACTCAGCTCGTTTACAATGAACGGCCGTGACACCAGCCTGCGAAAACGTCCGTTTCTCCTCGCTCTTCGCCGCTGGGCATGCTACCTTAAGCTCGTTGGTTGACCTCTTGCCGCTCAGTAACACTCGGTTAGGAGAAACGAATGTTTTCGCAGGCTACCGTGGCAAAAGAATAGGGAACTTAATACGATCCAACAACGGCGACGCCGTTGAAAAAAAAAATATAGAAAAAAAGTAGACTTTTCTTCCTTTCGCACTTTTTGGCCCTTATACCAAGTCACCCAGTTGGTTAAAAGTAGGGAATGTACCTTGGAACTATAGAGATAGATAGTAGGGTCATAGTAATATTTATCGCCTTGTCGTCCCCGTTCTCAAGTCAACGTAAAATTTGCTCATTTCCGCGGCGTCGTAGTTGTGGAAAATTTACCAAAAAGCGCAATGCACATACGGAGCTGTTGTTTGCTCACTGAACATTAGGGACTTTAAGATCCAACGACGCGACCACAACAAGAACGTGAAAAAAAAAAAGAAAAAGAAAACTGTAGGTTACATGAGCTAAACAACAACTTTGCACGTGCATCTCACACTGTACAACTCTTTGCCGTTTTTGCTAAGTGGGTAGGAATAATCGCGGTGAAGACTGAAAGAACGCAGTTTCACTTTTTAAAACGACTTTGTCGTTGCCGTCGCATCTTTGGATCTTCAAATAAAGTTCCTGTTGTCTTTTAGACGTTCCAGTTGGCGTCTTCGTCTTAGTTACGTAAGGTCTCTGATGACAAGCGCCACCATACCTGACCGCGAGGATCTGTTAAGTCAACAACTTAAACCTTGGCGTTTTCGATCTAAACCAGTTACAAATAAAGTCAGGAGACACAAGTTACAGAAACAGTCCATCGTTTTCAAGATTATTTAGGCTTGTCTTTCTTTAAGTTAACATTTGGTAGGGTTTAATACTCACCGCGTTTGTGGCCAGTGACTCAGAGACCATGAAAAAAGTGAAACAACGCTCTGTGGCGGTTGGCACGTAGTCAAGTAACCGCGTTGCGTCGGCACGAAATGGCATATGGGGGGTCGTATTTCTTAATCAGCTACAGTTTCGGGTCGTAGGTCTCGCCCATTTTGTGGACGTAGATTATTTTTAGTAGCAAACTTTGCATCAACGCCATTTTTTGAACCACCTGGGTGCCTTGTTTTTTTGGATGGGCCCATGGGGGAACGGTTGTTTACCAATTGCAAAAAGTTTAAGAAAAATCCTGCCGAAAAGTAAATGAAATACTACTGACACAGCTTTAAGCCCCGTGCAAAAGGACCCAACAAAGTTTTAATCCGGTCAAACGCTAAGGTATGTGCACAACGCGGTACGGACACAACAACTCCCAACAATGTTGGGAGTTGTTGCTTCCATTTGCACATAGCTTTATATGTCGTCACAGTGGAAAATATCCATGAGCAACAGAACTTAGCTGAACTTGTGAAAAGGTAGTCCTGTTTTTCCAGACGAAATGTTCCAAATGGAAATTTTTGTTCCATGGATTTAATAAAACCTATCTTTGATACCAGTTCCAGGCTATCGCGACCGTTTTTCGGTGAAAGGAACAGTACTGATTTTATTTGTGGTAAACACGACTTCGGAATAAAATTTACCAGTCCTGTGCTGAGTTGCTCAAGGCATGGTTAGCTTTAACCATTGGTTAAGCAGTATCAAAACCAATACGTTGTCAAGGTATTAAACGCTGGTTAACGCTAACCATGCTTCGAGCAACTGGGCCCTAAATTTTGACTAACATTTGCCCAAACCGTGGACCGACCGGTTTGCCCGTGTAAATGGTAAACAACCAACGTAACCAAGGCACAACAACGTTGCGAGAAAGAAAAATACAATGGTTGTTTGCCATTTACAGAGACAAACCCTCAGGTTGTAGCTTGTATTGCGTTGACTGAGAATTTCTCAAAATATAGCGACACATCGCGAAACAAATCGGCATGATGTTTAGTCAATACTAATATGAACGTTGAAGTGCTTTACCTGTGGGATATTTTCGTCAGTTTCCTCGGATTTTAACTGAGTTAGCAGAAGTTATGGTTGGCGGGATGCGGAGTGAGCCTTTGTTGGTCTTTTTTTTTGCCGGCAGAATGCGGAATGAAATGACACTGTGCAGGGTGGTTTGAGGTAGGCGGAAAGCGGAAATTTTGTCTAGTTCGAAGCAGGACGTAAGAATTATTGATTTCTTCGGGCGGGAAACGGGATGGGATATGTGGGGATTAACTCACTACTATTCATACTTCTGTTTTTATAATACTAACAGCGCTTACTAATTGACACTTCAAGGTTACCGACAACTCACGTTCGACGGACATATCGAAACATATCGGCAACATCCAAGAGAGGTTAAGCAAAACTACATGTTAAACAGTAGTCATAATCGATTGTAGCCATGGCTCCTGAATTACGTAATAAAACTTACATTATGCAAAAGTTACAAGGAAACAATTACAAAGCTGAAAGAGTACATATTTTGGTAGCTGTACGTTTCAATGAGAGTTTTCAATTCAAATAACGGCGAAGCGAAAAACGAGAGAACGTCGCGCGAGAGGGCAACGAAGCCGCATAGTTGAGGAGCACTTGGTCGGCGGATAAAGGTTGTTTGCTACTTAAAGGTGATGTTGCACGGGACGTTTCGCAACGTCGAGTTTTAGCGCGACACAACGTTGCAGTGTTGGAACAATGTTGTAACTATTCGAAACAATGTCGCAACAATGTTGCAAAGCTGTGTTGCGCTAAAGATGATCGTTGCGAATCGTCTCGTGTAACATCACCTTAATTAGTTCCAGTGCAAATTAGATGACATTCAGTTCAGTGTGCGTAAATGCCATCTGCCATTCATTTAATGTTTTGGTCAATTGGGCAAACATCCACGACCACTAAAGGCAAAAGATAAGATTAAATGCAGGATATGCCAAAGAAGAGCATCAAATATCAGAGTGTAATTAGAAACTGAGACGCTTTTGAGACATTAAAGGTTCATGTTTGTTTGACTGAC